TCATCTTGCTCAGGCAGAACAGGTAAACAAAGTTTTTTGGTTTTTTGTTTTGAGACAGAGTCTCCCTCTGTCGCCCAGGTTGGAGTGCAGTGGCATGATCTCGGCTCACTGCAAGCTCTGCCTCCCGGGTTCACTCCAGTCTCCTGAGTAGCTGGGACTACAGGCACCCACCACCATGCCTGGCTAGTTTTTTGTATTTTTAGTAGAGATGGGGTTTCACCGTGTTAGCTAGGATGATCTCGATCTGACCTCGTGATCCACCCACCTCAGCCTCCCAAAGTGCTGGGATTACAGGCATGAGGCACCGCGCCTGGCCCAACATAAAGTTTTTAAGTATGGAGGGGTCCTGAGAGATAGTACAAAATGTCTGCTACATAACAGGTAGTCAGGTTATGAATAAATGGATGAATAAATGGATTGATAGAATACAGTTGGGGAGCTCAATATTTTAAAATACAACTTCTATAAACCAATATTTTCATTAGTAATAATATTTGCTATTTGTTATTTTTATAAAACTACAACTATAACGAAATGATTATCATTGTTTGCATATATGTAATAAATCTATACATAAAAAAATATATACGCAATAAAATACATACATAATAAAATCTGCAAGCACAGATTCCCTTTTTACTTCTGAAGAAGCTAAAAGTTCAAAGAAGATAACAACCGTCACAATAATAATGATAAAACATAGTGAGAAAATTTTATCTGTACAAGATTCATATTTCTCTCTTCCGAAAAATTATTCCATTAATAATACATTTTTACTAGAAGTTTTATAAAAGCTCACTTCAGAAATCAAAGGTAAGAAAAAGGAACAAAAGACTTTAAAATAATACTAATGCTCAGAAGTTACAAATTTTATCCAATTTTGTACATAGTTTTGTCTAACACAAGACCATAGTACGTTTGTGTGTATGTGCAAGCAATTTTTTTTTTCCTTACTGGTTATAACAAAATACATCTTTACACATCATCATACTTCTCTACCTATTGCTACCTTGAATGGCCACATATCCATTCTATGGGTTCTTGTTAACATAAATGCTGAGAAAAACAAAGTGCATGTATCTCTATTTTCTTTTTTTTTTTTTAATTATTATACTTTAAGTTCTAGGGTACATATGCATAATGTGCAGGTTTGTTACATATGTATACTTGTGCCATGTTGGCGTGCTGCACCCATCAACTTCGTCATTTACATCAGGTATCAACTCCAAAGCCAATCCCTCCCCCTGCCCTCCTGGATAGGCCGCGGTGTTGAATGTTCCCCCTTCCTGAGTCAAGTATCTCATTGTTCAGTTCCCCACCCTATGAAATGAGAAACCAATGCGGTGGTTTGTTTCTGTTCGTGTGATAGTTTCCCTGAGAATGATGGTTCCAGCTGCCATCCATGTCCTACAAAAGGACACAAACTATCCGTTTTATGGCTGCATAGTAATTCCATGGTGTATAGTGCCACATTTCCTTTAATCCAGTCGTCACTTGGATGGCATTTGGGGGTTGATTCCAAGTCTTTGTTATTTGTGAATATGCGCAATAAACATATTGTGTGCATGTGTCTTTAAGCAAGCAATGAAAATTTATAATCCTTTGGTATAATACCCAGTAATGGGAAATCGCTGGGCAATAATGGGTACTCTCTGTTCTAGATCTTGAGAAATAGTCATACCTTTTTCCCATAATGCTGAAACTAGTTTACAATCCCACCAACAGTGTAAAAGTGGTTCCTATTATCTCCACATCCCTCTCCAGCAACCCTGTTTGTTCCTGATTATGATTGCCATTCTAACTGGTGTGAAGATGGTATCTCATTTGGTTTTGATTTCAATTTTCTGATGGCCAGGTGATGATGAGCATCTTTTTCATGTGTCCCGTTGGCTGTATGAATTGTCTTCTTTTGAAAGTGTCTGTTCATATCCCTTTGCCCACTTTTTTCGCGGGTTGTTTTTTTTCCTTGTAATTGTTTTAGTCTTTGTAGGTTCCTGGATATTAGCCCTCTTGTCAGAATGAGTAGATTGCAAAAATGTCCTCATTCTGTAGGTTGCCTGTTCACTCCT